TTTTTTTTTTTTTTTAGTAAATCCTATTTATGTTATGCTGGCTTAGTAAATTTGAAATATTACTCCTCTTCACCCACGTCCAAATATTGATACTGTTTTTTAAGATTTAGATAGAGTTGATATGTCTCATCTGTATATTCGGTATATTTATTTATAAAAAAAACTCACATGGAATACCAGGATTCCGCTGAGTGTCCGTTATATCGACAAAGACCTTGCCAAGAGTTCATCCACATAATAATTATGTTGATCAGCAAGTTCCCTCAGATCCCTAAACATCACTTGATAGCTGAGAAGAAAGATGCATGATACAGATTAGATAAAACACGGGAAGATAAACTAAGAACGTCTAAATGTCTTGGCGAACACAGTTTAGTACACTGAATGTTTCCTTGGAACCTGGGCCTTGGAATGAGAGTGACACTTAATACATTCATTTACGGTAGGTAGGTTGGTATGAGGAATTGCATTACTGATAACGCAGTGTCACAAAGGTCTGCCTGCTGTTTCAAACTGGTTTTGCAAAAATCAGTGCGAGAAATAATCAAGCATTGTAGAATTCTTTGCGTTGAATGGCAGGTGTCCCTCGCGCGGGGCAAGGATTAAGTTCCCGAAGAGAGACTTCGGTTAAATAAGAACGACGTATGGGCCATTGTAAGAATGGTGCAAAAGTTTAAAGCAGGAAATTAGTCGTCGTTATAAATAAAAAAGTCTTTAAAAAGTAGTGACCTAGAGTTATTGTCCCCGCCCTTTCCTTTTAGGCAGAATCTTAATTCATTTGTGTAAAAGATGTTTGCTTACAGCACTTACGTTGCAGTTCAAGAAGTCTTCTTCTGGCCTTGGCCTGCTCGCTTGCAGCTTGCTTGAGGTTTCGTTTCATCTTGAAGTATGGTGAAATCTTGTGTAACATAAGTGGAAAAGAACTCTTATACGGAACGGTATTACGTTGAGGCACGATTGATTTTTTACTGTTAGCTGCAGAAGGGACAAGTGGAATGTTATTTCTTCGATAACTATTAAAACCAGTTTGTCCAGTCACAGGAAGATTAACATTATAACGGAAAGCCGGGAAGGTGGGTGTCATGTTGTCAACTTGTCCCTGAGATGGCTGTTGCTGATTTTGAAAGGCATTAGAAGCAGTCCCATAAACTTGATTGCTGGATGCAGCTGGTGGCGGAAACAGGATGTTTTTCAAAGCCAACTCTCTGTCCAGTTGGGTTTGGACGCGATTCACATTTCCAGGTACGCTATTTCTTGAAGCAGACACAGCATTTGAAGTGGAAGGTTGCGCTAACACTGTCACCTGCGGTCTTGAAGCTGATGTAGATGCCAGTCCAGCATTGAGCTTTTGAGCAGTGGTTTTATCAATATTAGAAGCGTCTAAAGCCACAGTATTAGAAGGTTGCATGTTTTTCGCTACAGGTATCGTAGGCAATATTTGTGTTCCTTTAGTGACACTCATTGATTGATCAGCCTTCGTTTGTGATGCTGGCCCTGGTACTGCCGATAAATTAGGAGGGGCGGCAATCTTTTGAGCTGAACTAGCCTGCATGTTATAAGTAGCCGTGTTAACCGGGGGATGCTGATCGTTTCTAGATAGTACATTGTTTGCCTGGCCCTGTCCTGGAATATTAACATTACTAGGCGAATCTTTATTTAAATTGTCTCCAGCGCTCAGAGAACCAAAACTCTGAATTGAATTAGCCTTTGGTTGAGGATTGCTATTGGATTGTTTAATTTCACTCTCGCGTCCCGGAGCATTCCTAAGGGCACCGATCTGATTTGCCTGTTGCGCGATGGTCGGCTGAAGTAGCGAATGAGCGTTTGGTCCCAAAGCCGCACCACCCAAATTGTCACTCAAAATTGCTTCATTTACATTTGGTATGGTCGTTGATCCCTTGTCAAGGAAGGAATTAGCTTGTGTTTGAGTTTGTAGATTCCTATTTATATCTCCAATCACAGCTCCTCCCAAGTTCGACTGAGTGGGGAACGCGACACTGGTCTTGGTGTAAGGGGACGGTTTGCTGTTCATGGTTACTGTGGAAACTGGAGTTTGTTGCATGGCTCGTGATGATCCCATCAACTCAACATTAGGAATTTTAGTATCAACGTTTTCCTGAGAGGGCTTATTTCTTATTAACTCTTCATTTTGGCGGCCATTCGGTTTCTGCATTTTGCCATGATCAATCCATTGTCCCAGGACTTTTCCATCACGATTGACACCGGCAACAAACAACTTGATCCCTGCACTTGATGGATCGGTCTTCTGTTTTTTAAGGAGCTCTTTTTTTCTGATATCCTGCACTTTTCGAGCATACGCACTCGCCTCGACTAGCTTTCGAGACCAATCTCTGTAGTGTGTCCGATGAGGATAGTAATAAGACGTGTATCGCCTTTGAGCCTGTGCACTGAATATCTTCGGTGAACCTGCATACGCTGATTGTAGCTGTTTGGTTGGTCGAATTGGTGCAACATTCTTGAAGGCTGAATTGTATTGATATCTTGGAGGCGTAAAATATGTTCTTGTTGATGGACGCCCAAACTGAAATCTACGTTGAGGAAGTTGATAATATAACGGGGGAGAAATCTGGCGTTTGTCGTGATCCCTTTTCGTTATCTTGGCAGCGTCTGAGCCTGAAGAAAAAGCAAAAAACCTAAGGTAAGTAAATTTAAAGGGATATCACAGTAACGTTATTTAAACCCTTTTATCAAGTCTTTTCTAACTCACATGTTGCTAGCAGAACAACTAATCCCAGGAGGATTCCAACTGACATGCTGAACTCGACTTTCTGTACAAGGATCATTCCTTTGCCATGTGTGGCTCCTTCAATCAAATGCAAAATACTGTTAGCACCAATACCAAGACGTACACTGATCGACATCGAGAGTTTAAGCCTCGGTTGAGAAAATAAAACATATTATGAAAGATCGTGCCGCGCTGGAAGCGCAAGTTAACACCGTTGACTGGAGGAAGTACTGGTCAAGGCGGAACTGAACAATTTTTTGTCAAAATTGTTTTATAACTTTCTGTCAGGTTTTTTCGTCTGCCCTATATATTTAATTAGGGCGCAGGGTAAATTAAAGTATATCACTTTGTAGCGCTTCACAAGCAGCTATGGAGAAGAGAGATTATTCAAACGTCTGAAGATGAATGAGTGTTTTTAAGACGGGTATAACAATACCAGGTGACGTTAAACACAAAAGGGAAATAGTTGGTGGTCTATCAAAGCTCCATTTTTCCTGCCACGAGTAACACAGATACCACATTGTTAGAAAAAGATACGACCTGCATTTAACTGCAAATGGAAAAAAAAAATCAGCTTAACTGTGTTGTATTTAACTTTGGTTTGCTGATGAAAAATAGAAAATTTTCAGTAGTTTTGGTTGCGCCCGCAAAACGCGATTGATTGCCGCGATATTTCAACTTATCAATGGACACATTTCAAAGATGCTGTTAAACATCGAGTGGTGATACGAACCCGAGTGTATACGATTGATCTAGATATATAGATTAAACTGTTTTAAACTATGTTAACTAAATTCTCTCCGAGATGAATCAATAAAACCTTTTCTAGCAAACCGGTTGTCAGCTATTGTTGAAATAAATTAAATCAAAAAGAAAACACCCACCTGGCTTCCTTTTAACTTGGTGGTACTCTCATCCCTCTTGGTGTAATCTTGATCTTCCTTTATCCCTTCAACTTAATTAATGAACAATTCATCTTTTCGTTCTTCTTTAACAAGTTTTTCGAAACCGCACGAACAACACTCTCGTGTAGCCCACGGCTCTGTATTCGGGCGGTTCGAAAGCGGGTTGCAAGAGACCTGTTGTGTAACATGGTGCGCTATTCACGGCTGTTCACGCTTATTACCAAACATGGCCAACCTTTTAGCACATTGTCAACAACACGTTCTCGTAAAAATAGAAACCAAGGTTAGAAATTTCCATTTAAAACCGCTATCTAACACTTTCTGGTAGATTTTTTTATCTAAATTTTTAGCTAGAAGCCGTTTAACAGTAATTTTCACCAGTAGTTAAAATCTCCATACTGTTCTTTACCCATTTTGTTGCATGCTGTTTGGGAGAATTTGGTCAAAAATCAAGTTTATTTCACTAGGCGACCATTGAAGTTATTCACTCGAAAATCGTATGACCTACAGTACCAAACATAGTTCAGAAAAAAGCTGCTGCTATCATTTACATTCGTTCAGTTACAGAAATATATTTTGCACTTGTTTATGTTGATCAAATTCAAATGAGTAAAACGTTTTTACAGGTAGAGACTGGTTTCCACTAGCTCATAAGCCTTCGCAACATACGCACACTCGGTAAGTTGTTAATAACTAGCGCCTTTTGCTTCAGACAGGAAAGTTTCCTTAAAAGCACCGTCCGAGTATGTTGCTTCTAATTATGCACCAGTGAATACCAGACGTAAAACAGTTAAATTTCCCCTCAATACCGGATTTGTTTTGATAATACAAGTACAGGTACCAGGGCAAGAAAACGAGGAAATTGATTTCAGAAAGACGCAACAAGCATTCTTGAAATGTTTCGCAGCCTTTCTTTGCCTACCACAGGCAAATTGTGTGAGACATCCCGTACTATGTTATTTAACTACTTCACGCGCCAGTGTTCGCTTTTGAGTTATATCAGCACGCGGGAGTTGAAAAGAAAACAAGCTAGAGGTGTTTAGAGAAGAGTGCTTCCTTCTCGGCCTTCTCGAGCGTTATTAAAAAGTAGGCGGAACAAATTAATTAATTCTGCTGTAGATATTGTTGTTTACCATTTACACCAAACCGGTTGCTGAACGGTTTAGGCAATTCCTGGTGGTAAGTTCCGTTGGGACTGGCCATTTACCATATACCCAAAAAAACCCAGTTTACCGAAAGAGACTAGGACGAGTTTAACCCCATCTTGATTCCAATATGACGGTGAAGATTGCAAATGGTAAGCACATTTTCCACTCGGATATTTCGGTTGGAAATTTTGGACTGCCTTTCAAGACGTCCCGTTTATTTCGAAACTTTCCCCGTCGGTTGTGCCAAAATTGTCGTACCATTTACATTCTGACCGAAATTTCCGGAATGTTTGGGTAAATGGTAAACAACCATAATGTCCAAGAAGTTTCGCGCACTCAGACTGTCTACTTGACAGTCATTAGCGTTTGCCATCATTCATAGAGCCAAAGTACCCAGTCCCTCCCCTTCACCCCAATTCTGTGTATAGTGCCATACGAGGCATGAAATGGAAGCATGCACGAACGCCATTTCACTGTTCAGTAATTTTATAATAGGCCTTAGGATGGGCAGGCAAAGCTGTCAGAAATTACAGTGTTTGTATGGGAATCCGATGGCAAATAGCTTTTTCCAACATTGAATTTTACACAATTTGTGAATCGCAACGTTAAAATACTAGGTAGAAGATTATATTCACCGAGACTGAAGGATGTAGCTTGGCTAGAAGATGCTCAGTTAACTTTTCCAATTTTCCATACATTCGTCAGTAATTTTTTTCCCGCGAACCGCGTCTACCCAGCCAAATTTACAGACAAATGTATGGCGTCGAAAAAAGGGATAAGGCCTCTTGCATTTATCAATGAGATCGGATACTAAGCAGGCAATACGTACTCCAAGTTGACAAATCCAAGTTTATTGATATCTCCTAAAATAATTGGCAATTCTAATATAAGCCGGCAAACACTTGCTACAAAAATTACACAACATAGTTCAAATCACCCAAGATTTATATATATAAAAATAATTAACAGGGGTTTAACTTTCCCAAAACGAAACGATCACCAGCCACATCCCATGTATTATTGCTAAAGGCAGAAAAGGTCTACACAAAAATTACCTTTTAAGCTTTGGAGGAGCACTGCCGTACATTTTAAGACCGGCTACGAGAACACGCATCATAAATATCTGAACCAATAGAGTGCCCTTAGGTATTGGTAAGATTAACGCTGTTGATTATTAAAATGAGTGAATTGCAAAATGGAAAAACGTCAAAACGTAAGCACAAGGCTCATGTTTTGAAACCACTCTCCATTATTTTGATTAGAGTCCATAAATATCGAATTCCCATAGAACTGAATAAACATTACTTGACCTTTTTCAGTTTGGACCAGGTGACAGTGCTCCATTAATCTCAGTATGACATTGTCTTGGGGTATCATCTCCCAAGAGTTTCAGCTTTTGTTCTAATTTAGCTCCAAAATCATTTCACAAAAATTGAGAATCACGTATAGAGTATGATCATTCCCAGTTATCCCAAACTTTGAAGTCCCCATCTTTCTTCTTACTCCATGATAGCTTTTAGAGACTAGCCTGAGCAGCAGCTCCCTTTGGCTAAAATGAAAAACAAAAAAAGAAAAGAGAAAGAAAACAAAACAAAAAAGTGAACAAAAGCAAATAGCCAAACACTCTGATAATATCAGGAACACGTCAATGCATAATATTATTACCCCTTCAATTTAAAGCTGCAAAGCGATCAGCATCGTTTATATTTTTCTTCTCACAGTATATGTGAATATAAAAAAGGTCGCAACTACAAGTGATCACCAAAGAGAAAATGACTTTATTCTCTTAACTACATGTACATATAGTGTTCAGTAAGGAGACTTTGTATGCCGACCAGGGGGGCTTAATTGTTGAAATTATAATAACTGAATACTGCCATCCTAATAGTTGTGGGAGACACTGTGACCTTTGGGTAGCGATTAGTACCCTGTTCACCAGACTATGAGGTCCAGGTTGGAACCTAGGCGGGATCATATTGCTTTATGTTCTCGGGCAGGAATGTCTATCCACCTGATTCCCCCGAGGAGTATAAATGGCTAAAGGTGGATTGATGGGGCAATCTGACAGAATGTTACAGAGAAACCTGCTACATTGTATGGGCTACTGTTCCATCTGTAGGGAATTACAATAGCAATACGCCTAGCTGTACCATGCTTCAGATATTGGAGTTAAGCAACCAAACAATTAGACAGAAACCGATCATTTTCTTGAATGGAGAGAAGCATTGTTGAATTAATGAAAATAGTCTGCTGCAAGCTGTTAAGAAGATACCCATCCTCGGACACCCCAGGAGCAGCTAGTCGGGATGACATGATATTTTCAGGCGAAGATATTTTCGGGCAAAAGTTTACAAACTTTCGCCTGAAAATATCGCAATGTCCTGACTACTGTAGCTGCCCCTGGGTCTCTGAGGACGGAAGATACCCACCATGTGGTATTTGGCTAAGGCCTCCGTCAATCTCTGACCAAACTCAGGGGAAACTTGACTGAAATTGCTCACCTAAAAAATAAAAGACAAAACAACATTTAATCATAAATCAGCAAAGCCATGAAGGTTGCTTGAAATAACTCTGTAATAATTAACTATACGGTGTACCATATGTACATTGAAAATAATAGACTATGTTTACAAGTTATTATCAAAAAAATTATGGCTTGTGTTTGCGGCTGATATAACGCGAGCTCTGATTGGCTTGCGTGCTCTGATTTTTATTTTATATATTTTTTATTGTCTTGCTACAACTATAATTCTTACAGTACTAATGCTACTTACAGTGCTAACATTACTTACAAAGTTACGAGTTTACAGCACTGTGCATTACTTACACGCTCTGATGCCAAGGCATTATTCTCCCATAATGCCTATTTGCTGATTACAGCCCATAAAAACAAAGCAAAAAGCCACATAATAAGCAACTTATTAACCTTGAACGTTTGGTCTTTATGGGAAAATCTCACACCTTGACCTTCCCGTATTGAGGTCTTGGTTTGACATTTTCCCATAAAGACCTTATTCTTCGTTAGTAAGTAGTTAGTAATAAACAGATGGACAAACATAAACTTACAGCTCGTTTCTGAAGAAATTCTTTGGCATCTTTCAGATGCCCTGCAATGTTGTTCACTAGCCTTGTCTTTTCTGCCTCATTCAAAACATTGTTCCAGAAATTTGTGACCTGCAGCCAAATAATAAATACAGTTGAAAATTAAATTTTCATTAACTCTTGCATCCTTTTTCAGCAAATTAAAAGTATGTAAGTCCTGTGGTACACAAATATTTGGACTATTTTTCCCTACAACTGAAGGAGTCAAAATGAAGAAATACTTAACTGATGCATGGTACCATCTCCATACAGAGTAATTTATGGCACTCATTAAGAGGAAGTTTAGAGATCCAGTCTAAACAGAGCTCAAAGTTGTGCTGTACTTCAAATGACACAATATCAAGGGATAACTAACCTGTGAAAAATTGTCATCATCTGCAGAGTTATATCGAGCCACATCGCCACTTATCTAAAACAGCAACAACAGAAAAATCAATTACCTGAATGCTTCCATTAATGGCACCCAGTTTACATTTTATTATAAATACAGTAAAATGTTGTATCATCAAACAATATGCAAATCCAGGTTACCATACATATTTATGAACATTTACATGTTAACAGAAGTTTCTCAATGTCTGTACAATAGCAAAGCACAAAAAATACCTACAGTGAGCCACATAACTGTGGTCAGTATCTTAATCCCAAGAAAAGAAAACTGCCAATCAATAACCTGATTAGTTTTTAACACAGAGCTGTGACTTCAGCTTACGTACAAATACATAGTTTACATGCACATGAAAGAAATTAATTAAAGAAAACTAATTCTAAGTTGTACTTGCGAGTCAGTCTACAGTGTATACCAAAAATTGTGTCTGACTCAGTGATAAACAATACAAGAAGCCTCATTTACCTTCACTGTCTGTGGTGAATATTTCAAGTTATCCAAAGGCCCAGTAAAGCTGTTTGGAAAGTAGTTTGGTGCCCCCTCTGACAGAAAAAGAAGGAAAGAGCTCCTTCAATTAAACATTTGTACTCCACCTGAAAAGTCAGCTTCAGAAAAATTATCATCACTGTCATCTTTCATTTTTGGCTCCTATTTTTGCCTTGTCACATGAAATGTTGGTGTCACAATCTAGCGATTTAAAAAACTCAGTTGCACTTAGTGATACTTTAATTTGAAGATTTTGTGTAAGCCTTAGAACACAAGAACATGTAGCATAATTTTCAAGAATTCATGAACTGAAACATTGGCAAATTTGGTCAAAAGTTTAACAATGTGTGATAAGATGATAAACATCAACCGTTTAGCTCCATTCATTTTGCAACAGTTGACTTTAGCAACAGTTCCTTAAATGGCGTATTATCATGTACAGTATGTACATTGTAATGAGAAAAAATCTTTTAAAAAGTCACTAACTTTGTCACGATAAAGTGTCACCAAAATGTTGTGTGACAATGTTGTACTTAAAAAAGGTCAAAAGAATGTACAGTACAAACAGGACTTAATCATGATTGAGTTAATAAAATGAAAACCAGTGCTATTGGTACATGTATCACCCAGGCTTTATCTCAATAAGGGTAAAGAGTTAAAGCTGTACATATATACGTTAACTACACTGTACCTTGGTTATCAAAGGTCTGTGGTCCATCCCTCTGGTAGTTAGTGACTCTGGTCCTGTAAGGACAGTTCACACGCAGCTGTAGGTAGTTTGTTCCTAGTCGGTGAAGGTGAGTATCATGATATGAGAAGAGGCGACCCTGGTTAAAAAAAGAGAATGATTTAAATTTCTGTTTCTTGTTTTATCTGACTACAGCTGTATGTCCCTATCACCAACTGGTTTTTAGCAAGTTAAGAGTCCTGTGGAATGTACTAACAGTGTTATGCACATAAACAGTAAGCCCAAGAACTGAACTGTAGAGGCATGCTTGCATGTCTTCAGGTTGTTGCATGTTATCTAAAATAGAAACATGCATTTGTATACAGACGTGTTTATATGTAGTGATACTTAAATTGTATATTAATATTTTACCTGAAGCATTTTGTCTGGGGAAGGTTCAATACCAGGAACCATGCTTGCAGGGTTAAAGGCACTCTGCTCTATCTCAGCAAAGTAATTCTTAGGGTTGCGATTGAGAACCATCTTGCCAACTGGAATGAGTGGATACTCAGAATGAGGCCAGATCTAGGATAAAATATATATTGTTAATTAGTACTGAATAAATAATTATTAATCTTGGCACAGAAAAGTACTGTGACATACCTTGGTGAGATCAAATGGGTTCCAGCGGAACTTTTCCGCCTCTTCAAAGGTCATCACTTGAATGTACATGGTCCATGAAGGCTGATATACACAAGGTTTTTTCATTCAATATTAGTCAAACAACAATAATTTGTACTGCAAAGTCTCACAAATTTCAGCATGTTTTGTCTGTGTGGTAAGAGCAAGACAATGAATGAATGAACGAATGAATGAGTGACTGAATGAGTGAATGCATCACTCACTCACATGCTCACTGAATCAATCAATCAATCAATCAATCAATAACAAAGTTTTTTTTTTCCTTTCTACAGCTAAGCCTAGTTCCATAGTCTAATAATTCTATGCAACTTAGATACAGTACATTATTACAAGTACAGATTTTATCAGGTCCATTGTTAATTGAAGTATACACTTATTATATATATATAATAATGTACACATACTTCCAAAATTAGTCTAACCATCAATTATCAATTAAAAGATAAACTAATAACATTGTACACTGGTAAACTTACTGGGCTACCATTAGTAATGGCATTGTACAGCATCCTGTTGTTGTAGTCTGGATCAGCACCTGCCAGCTGCTCTGCTTTGTCTCCAGGAACACACTTTACTCCTTGATCAGTCTACAATAAGGCAAATAAAATAGCTCACATAAATTAAAGAAATTGCAAACAATTGTACATGCATGAATCTCTTATCACACAACAAGTTCTGAGTATGTTAAAACACCAATAAAGTAGAAATATGCCCCTCAGAGTGGGTCAGAGATGAAATTAAAATCTATGAATACACTGTATATATGTACAATGTAGTAACCACACTGGTTTGTAATAAAATAATTTATCTTAGTTCCTATGGCATTATTTGGTGTTATGGAAGTTGCACCATGTGCTACTTTAAAGCTAGTTTTCCTTACCTTGACATGGAACTTGCAGTACACAGCCTCCCCTTTGGCATTCACCATTTTAAAGGTGTGACTTCCATATCCATTCATGTGCTGATAACCATCAGGAATGCCGCGATCACTGAACAAAAAGCACACTTGATGGGTGGTCTCAGGACGCAGTGTGATGAAATCCCAGAACATGTCAGGATCCTAGAACAGAACAGTCATACCAGTTCAGAACCTAGACAGTAATGAATACAGACTGTCTACTGGTCCTCATTTTCTATGAGTGACAGTCAAATCAGTTCAATTCGTTGACTAATCACTCATACATGTAGAATATTGGGGCTCATAGTCATATTGTAAAAAATCATCCAAATCAAATAATCACTAATTACTTTAATTTACTCTGATTACCTTGAGATGAGTGGTGGGATTTCTCTTCTGAGTGTGAATAAAGCTTGGGAACTGAAATAATAAACATGACATTCAAACTTGTTGCAAAAGTTTCTGCTCTTTAAAGGTGGATTATACTATTTGATTAAATTGCTATCCATAAATGTTGACAAAAAATACATGCACATGAATGACGTTCTCCACTGGATAGTGATTTATCCCATGAACCGCCACCACCAGATACAGTGTGTATTCAAATACTACTACAATAACAATACATTAAACATAATCATGCATGAGGGTCCAATATATTTTTCATTACATGTACATTGTGCTGCAGTCAAACAGAAAAAGAACTACCCTTAGTCTAAAAATTAATCTAGATGAAGTCATACATTATGAGTCCCTGACAGTTATTCATTGTTTTCTTCTATTATTTCAACAACAAGCTAATGTAGTTTGAAACATTCTTCAGGATGTCCTACATGTATGAAGTATTTCAAATTTCACAGACCTGTACACTATTCGGTTCTGTACATGTATCTGGTCTGTAGTCTGTCCAGAGATCATGGGAAATGATTGGTAATGGAAACTTTTTGTGTCAAAATTTCATGCTTGATTTCGATACAAACATAAGAAAATGAAAATAGCATTGATAAGAAGAATGAAATGAAACCAACACAAGATGCAAGTACTCCATGGCATGTATACTGGCTAGTAAGTTTACAACTGATGCAAAATTCTTTGTATCAGTCTCCATAAAACTTCTAATATAATTAATTTTAAGATGAATAAAAACCTTACCAGGATTGGATCCCTGATAAAGAAGATTGGAGTGTTGTTTCCAACAAGGTCCCAGTTTCCTTCTTCAGTATAGAACTTCATAGCAAAGCCACGTGGGTCACGGGCAGTGTCAGCACTTCCAGACTCACCACCTAAAGGTTAAACAACAATAGGCCAGAACCTTTTAATACTTGATAAAAAAACAAAAACTGGAGACCACATTCTCTTAGCAACAGAAAGAAACTGCCTGACAAATATGTTTGAACTAGTATGCAGTTCCACATTTGTGCAAGTTCACCAATTTTGAGCCCCAAGGTCATGATCCTTTTGGTCAGCACCACAGAATGGCCAATTTCCTCTATGAGATGACTGCCTACAGGGTATCTTGGTAGTTGCACTCATCCTCTTGGACTGGATATTTGTTTTGATGAATACAACTACCGCAATTTCCTGCAGGTGTGTCTCATTGAGGGATCAGCCATTGGGACCTTTGGACAAAATCACAAGGTGAGTCAGCATTAACACAGCACATGCTCTGGGTGTGACATTGGATGTTGGCAGTAAGAGTTCAGCCCTAACTACTTAGAAAAGGTAGTCACTGCATGAACGGATGCCGTCTACAGATTGTAATATCTCTTCAGTCACATCTTCTGTAGGAGGTGAACTCAACTTGAAACTATGGTCTTGATGATTGAGCGTTTAAAACATGGGGTGTTCTGTACTATCACATGTAGCATTTTTTACCACAGTTTATATTTGTTCACATTCTGCATACCCACTGTGGAAAATCGTGCGACACAAGGAGTTCTTTTGCCAATTCTGTTAAAAATAGCTGCCTTGCAGTATTTGCTGATGTCATGAGTGACCTCAAAGTATCCAAATGCTCCACCTCCCTTGGCATGTACCACTCTCTCTGGAATTCTTTCCCTGTCAAAATGACTCATCTCATCCAGAAACTGGACGTCCTGCAGCAGGACAGGTCCCCTGGGTCCAACTGTCATGGTGGACGTCTTTGTGTCAATGGGACACCCAGTTCCAGTGGTGAGGACATCAGGTGTCTTGAGAACAACAAGAGAAAATCTGAATTACCTTCTGCTTGTTATAATATTGCATACAGGCTTGACTCCAGAAGACAGTGTTAAAAATATTTTGGGATGAGATTTTATTTTGATAAGGACACATTTTGAAATATAATTGATTACAAAATGAAGGAAAAGTAGACTATGATGTTTCAAAGTCCCCTTGACTCCATTATCAAGTAGAGAAAATAATGGCTGAGATGTTAATTTATATTGTGAAAGGTGTAACAATATATTTAAGTATAACACCGTCTAATCAAGAGTTCTTAGGTGCCAATGGAATAAACCTGGATGACTACCTTTGCATGAATTGAGTGTGGTTGTGTGTTTAGTTTGGTTTCCATTCACAAATGAAAAGCATTGTGTGAATTAAACAGATTTTATTTTGATTCTGTTTTTTTTTTTTGGGTTTTTTTTTTTAAAGTCCCCCTTCGAATGTACTGTGCTGGTTTTACTTTGTCTCGTGATCATAATTAACTAAGTTTATAGTTATGCAATCTCTAGTCAAATTTTCAGCTAACATGTATTAAAGCACCTAAATACAAATTCTAAACGTGATCACTCAATTACAACAGGAAAAAAAACTAAATGATGTCAAGGTAACATCTTAGAACGTCACAAGTACAGTAAGTACGTGACACTATCACAAAACGACGGAAAAGAGTTGCATGACGTAAACATGACAAAGCGCGAACACACTGACGCGATTAAATGATTAGTTCCGTTTCAATATTATGGTCATGACTCTACATTACAACAAATTAAGTAATCTTAATTCGTTTTTATTACAAACAGAAGTAAAAATGTCGAGAAAAAGACCAAGTCAAGACCAAAACTGAAGACTACACCTGAAGCCTACATGCAGTTGGTCATGGTCTAACAGACTGACTATTTGCACGTACAGTCAGGGTAGCAGGGATTTTAACTCTCCTCGAATTTAGTGCACGTTCGCTCTGACAATACACACACCATGACACACGTAACATTTGACTAAATATATACTTAGTAAACTAAATGCTTCAATCCACGTCTTAAGTGTAAATTAGTCGAACCTCATTTTTCCAGTGCAAAAAAATGCTGCAGTTTGAGACAAAACAAACGAGACCCGTATAAATCTAAGAACATGGATAATTTATTCACGCCACGAAACCCACAAACAATCGTACATAACGTTATGTTACCCTCGCAGTCAATAAACATGAACAAATCCTAATCTATCCATAAAAATAAACAACACATCGGACTATTTTAAAAGCATATTAAAAAGTACATGTGGGACATACTGCAGCTGTTCTACTGCACGAGCTCAACTGACGAACTCATGGCGAGCTCGTGCGAGAAAAAAACCAGTCATTCTCAGCCAAACTCCTACCTTCTTGTCCTGGGAAAATTCGGCAAGTTGCTCCGATGCCTTCGTACGGTTAGCCATTTTCTTCTCTACTCAAAACTGACCGTGTTCGTGCTACTGTATTGTGNATGTATTTAATCACTGCTGTTTGTGCTTATTTCTATAAAGTTAGTTGGATATCTTGGTTTTGAGTCTTATTACTCCCGTCGCCATCATACTAACACGTTGCTATTCTGGCCCAGCAGCGCGCAGAATTCCACCGACACGGCCTCAAATGCTGCCATTTTTAGGCTGTCGGGGTAGCGCAAATGTGGTCGCAAAATGATACACCAACTTATTCAATACTTAGCCGAGACTTTTTTTTTATAGGGATTAACTTGCAATATTTTTAGATAGATTTGATATGCTGGAGCACTAAGTGCTGCGCTGCTGGGCAGTTGTTCCGCGCAGCGTTACATACAGTATTATTGAGAAGTTGAAACTCCTTTTGCTGTTGCGATATTGCGCGCAACATGTGGCGCTGACTTATGTTAACCCAAACACCATCCGATTCTGAGATGGCTTTTCTCCTCCAAGATCTGATTCAAACAAGTAGAAGGCGATTCATTGTGCTGTGCACCTTTTCCAAAAAGAGAAAAATATAGTTTACAAGATACCTCTGGAAAACAGTTCGCCTAAACTGGAAGTACATATCGGACAAAACTTTCAAGCGGCAGGCGCATGTAATCTTCATGTTCTCGGTAAACTGGAACAAACTATGTAACACGAAGCTATCGTTGCTCTAGCAACGAAATTTGGGGGAGGGGGCTCGTCACGCAATCTTTTTTGCCAGGATTAACAAAACCATCTCTTAAACTACGAACTCGCTGAATATTTATTGTATATACAACCTTTTCTTAGCATCTTCGATAAGCTACTGGCACAATATCAAGTCTCTGCCTTAAATTAAAAACGCTTAATACATTGAAGAAATCCATGATGCTAACATAACTACCTACCAATCATCGATCTGTTTTGTAACTTTCAATTGTCCTCATTAATACGTTTGATCTGGGCACCAATGCCTTTCAAAATTGCCTTTCGTAAAGTTCTTGGCTTCGCTTGGTGAAAGTCAGTAAGTGTTTTGTGCATTTTTCCTGCACTGGATGAAGTCCGAACAAAGCTAATTAACTATTCACTCTCTTGCGCTCTCTTTTCGATTATCGCCACTAATACAGGGAAATACCTTGGGTAACTGTCTTGCGGGGGAGTATCCTTGAGTTAATTCTTTCCAGGATTTGTCCATGTTTGATTTCTTTTAGGGTCTTTCCTTGGATCAATACTTTCGGGAAATGATCATATGGGCACTTTCTATCGGGGATTATCCTTGGGGTACTTTCTATCAGGAACTATCCTTGGGATACTTCCTTCCGAGGGATTATCCTTTTAAGGAATTATCCTTTGGTTACTTTCCTCTGGGGTTAATTCTTTTGGGGAATTATCCTTGGGTTTCTTTCTATCAGGGATTATCCTTGGGGGCACTTTCTTTTTCGCCTCCTATAAAGGGGGTTGGGGGTCCTTGCGAGGGTCTTCATTACGGGGGTCGTTGGATAATGACTGCTTGCTCTGACGTACCGCAACAAATCTCACTCTCTCTACTCACTCACACGCGATGGGCATACGCGCGCTCTTCACACAAAGTGTGTGCGTGGCTTGGTAATGAGGGGAGGGGAAGGTAGGGTTGGACTATTGTCGACAACTCCTTCATTGCCTAAAGGGGTGGGACTTGTCCACAGCAGGGACCAGACGGGGGAATTTAGTCAAGTGTCAGTTGAACTGAAAGCCTTCCTGAGGCATGGTGACTCCAGCACAAAACTGAAACTGATCCGCATTCTGATCGATGCCTGGCATGAGTTTTTCGTCCTCGTCTTCGCCGCTAAAGTAGTACTCAATTATTTCAAACGCTTTCCTATAGATTTCCTCGTTGTCGTGACTCTGAAGGAATTAGATCTTGTCTAAACCTGGAGAATGAAGGAAAAAAAAACAACAAAACAATCAAAACCAAACAAAAAAACAAAACAAAACAAAACAAAACAAAACAACAAACAAAAAACAGTTTCTTGCAGTTAAATTCAACATAACATCAGCGTTACTCCAAAAAGAAATCAAGCTAAGTCCAGGCAAAACCGGTCTTTACGAAGGTTCACAAGGAATGTGGGCCTGAATAGTGTAATTTTAAATAAATCAAGAAATGAATCTCATTCAATAAAACATCGCGGTTGTTTAATCGAAGATAGTGACCACTTCGCAGAACTCCGTAAAATAAAAATTATTACAGGTTATTTCTTGCTCTGAGGGAGAATAAAAATAGAGAGGTTCGCAAGAATTTCAACTACCTTTGGGAGCGCATAAGAAATTCTGCTTCAGTATCAAGCATTGAAAGAACCCTTGCAAAATTAACATTTCTCAAATTGATATGGTTTGGTTTTACTGAAGCAGATTCATATGGCGTTGGAAGAGAGAGTGGAATCCTCTCTACCCAGGGAGGGGAAGTCTGATAGCAGTGCCAGAAGTTGCCAGTTGCAAGAAATCGCAATATCTTAGGCAGTACCTGGCAGCTATGTAGCAGATTTGATCAATTATGATGTTGAAATGAACACAGAGGACACCCAAAAGCATTTAAATCCCTACAAGGTGTCCTTTAGAAGGCCCTACCAGGGTGAATTCAGGCAAGAGACAAGAACACCCCCCTGACACGTCCTCCTTTAGGTCTTGTGTTGCGTGAAAACCCACTGACTTACCATAAGCTTCCTCAACCATAACTGCGAACTGGTTAATGCCATCATTTTGAAATGCATCCTGTTTTCCAACTCTAAGGATGTTCTCTAAGCCACTGAGTGCCACTTGAACAATTTTTGAATCCATGACAGTCAGTAAATCACACAGAGGTTTAATGACTCCTTGACTAACCAGGTATCTGTTGAAGCAAATATGTGTCTATTGTATTCAAAGAGGCAATTGCAAAATAAAAACATAGGGAAAGACTTCTAAGATTAAATACCAAGGCAAAAAAAAAAAAAAAATTAAAAAAAAAAAAAAAAAAAAAATAAATATATAAATAAAATAAACATTTTGTGTGAGTCACCTCATTGTCACCAAACTCACTCTGCTATGTAAGAATGTATGCTATTTAACAATAATTATTAGACCCGTAGTCTGAAAGGGCTACAGGTCAATAGCCCATGAGGCGAAGCAAAATGGGCTATTGACCCGTGGCCTTGAGGGCAAAGGGTCTAATAGCTAGGGTCTAACTAGTCGGACAGAAAATGCAATAATAAGTTAGCAAATGCAAGTTGAAGAAATATTTATTTAGGAATAAATTGAAAGACAGCGTCATGCTCGATTGCGCCAATTTCGCTACTTGAGGACTATTACTAATGGTCCTCTAGTAGCGTAGCCAATTAAAATGCAGCATTTGCATTAGTCCACTAGGTGGGTGATACTAAGTAAAGTTATTAACAACACAAATTATGGTTACCAGTTGGCTATTTGTGTCCCATACCAGGGAGACATACCTAACACCATTTCAGAACAAATCCAGTTGGTAGAAAAGTAGAAGAATTGAACTTGGGTAGCCTGTGTAGCTGGCAGGATTTGTGAACGAGTGATTTTTGGTCGCAGAGCCACTGTTTTACTCTCGACTCACCACCAATCCTGTTACGGCTTCGTTACTCATGTTCATGGCTTCGCTGCTAAAATAAAAGCACCGAGTGTGAAATCCCACCAGCTATACAGGCTTCACTTAGGAACCACCAGGGTCACTGTAACCTCCACATCATGTTACCATTAAATATGTTATTGTAAGTAAGTTACCATATCTCTCTTTGCCCCAATTTTTTGTTACAAAACAAATATCAGGGAAACAGTTTCACTTTTCTATATTTATGCATTATTACTAAGACCAACTTGATTTGTTCAGCTGTTCCCCCAGATGTAGCATTGGTGATGGCCCATGCTGCTTCTTTTCTTGTTTTAAATTCTGCCTTGCTAAGGATCTCCACCAACATTGGAATAATATTGGCATCAATTACTGACTGTGTTAAAAAGAGAGAGTATGTGCATTAAAAAACACAGTTCCAAATTTAAATGTTGTTAATTTATGACACAGACCCCGGAGGGGAGGGGGTACTCCCTACAGGTGACTATATTTCACGATTTGAATCATGGAAAAGGGTATGGGAAATATTATTTAGGAATTAAAAAGGGCCTGTGGTGATTTCATCAACAGGTGCACCTCTAATGGTTTATTTATCTTCAGGAGTATTCCAAGGGCATTACCGCAGTGACACAGTTTAAAAAGAATACAGTAATTCTACTGTAGGCACGAGAAAGGGGTACCACTTCCCATGGAAGGTATATACACAAAAGGGAATACCAGACAAAAATGATATATAAGAAGGCAAGGATTTGGATCTTAGGGCAGAGCCTTCCTGCATAAGATTTTGTTGAGTACCCCCACACCCTCAAAATAATGATGACCACAATCTACATCCAAACACATAAATGATGGAACACTGCTTTCAATAGCCTTACACATTACAAATTGTTCTCTGTAGGCATTGCACTCTTCCCCACCTGACAGATGTCAGAGACTCACTGTCAAAAATGTCTTTCTGATGATGTTTCTCTAATTAAAAGTGACATGTCAGGCACCTGCAATAGTTGATACTGTTCAGGTTTGAATTTTCACATGACATGTAACAATCAGAGAGCAGGGGAGCAAGAATGGCACAGTGGTGAAAAAGCTTGCCCCCCACCAATGTAGCCTGGTTTCAATTCTGGCCGAGTGCAATATGGGGTTATATTTGTCATTGGTTCATGGATTTTGACCATTTTTTTAAGTGGTTGCTTGAGCATGAGTAGGTGAACACATTTTCTTCCTTGTGATAAATCATTGCATGACAGCCAATGCAATCCTACCTGTATTTGTGCTCTATTTCCGGCTGTGATATTAGAAATTGTCCAGCATGCCTCTTTTCGGATGCTTTCTCTAGAGTTGCTAAGTAAATGTAATAGACTAGGAAGTGCACTGCAGTTAAGGATCACCTATCAATTGAAAGCAAAACTTGTGGTTATCAAAATCACAGGCATACAGCAAATAGGTATCAGGGCTGTAATTAAGGGCCATAACCCATAACACCTGTTACGGCTGAGTATGTTTGATGGACCCTTGATGTTATGGGTGAACTGGCCTGTACTTGATACAATTCACCCACAAAGTAACAAGTTTGCTACAGGTGTGAAGATCAAGACTACAGGTGAATTAAAACTTAATGACAGCCCTGGGTATGATTTCAAGTAAGTGCTTTCCCCCATCCTCGATAAGTCCTCCCCTTTCACACACACACACAGATGCTTTGGGTCTCTACAGTAGTTTTACATCAATGTTTTCAATTAAATGTTGCATTATAAAGCTGCCTGAAACGGGTGACAGATACATTTAATTTTGCCAAATGTATCCAGCAATATATTACCCTCATAACAGATCAATTAAAACCAGAGAAAGCAACTGCTACATCTTCTACTGAAAGAAATTAATGCCATCACATAAGGTCAAAATATGATTACTGATAACTTGTAAATCATGTTAGTAACCTTTCGTGGCATGAAACAACAAGAGAACGACAACTACATCTGTAATTACCTTAGCAGGCTGACTAACTGTATGTTGAAAATGATAATCTAGACCATGGCAATATTATTTTCAAAAGTGTTATATTTTATTAATCTAATAAAAGAATAACTCTCTCCTACTTGGGTTTGCACATCATCTCCAGTCACAATATTCCCCACTGCCCTAAGAGCTGCTGAAACAACAGGACTAAGATTGTGCCTACCAAAAAATAGAAAACAAAATAAATATGAGATAAGGGAAAGCTGCCAATCTGTGAAACAGTGTAACATTCTGAAAACAAGCAAGAAAGGAAAGGAAAGGAAAGATGGGCTTGAGTTTTGTTATAACAAGTGCACAACAGGGGCTTTACAGGCTTGTGATCTGTGGCATATGACCTGGTAAGAATACTACGAAAGTTCAGCACTAGACTCATTCTTACATTAATAACTCCACTAGTCTTCTACAGACACCAGAATCTATAACAGCTTGGATTTTCTCATTAGGGCCATCTGAGAGATATGACAGTGCCCAGCATGAGTCAGCAAGGACATCAGGATCATTAATAAAAAGAAGACGGGCCAACACTGGCAGACATGCAGACACCTAGAAGAAAAAGACAGCTAGCCTTAGTAAACAATAACAGCATCATTCGCATCGTGTAAATTTCTTGTCTTTCTTAAGGCGGCGAAATATGAGATACAAAAATCCTCAACTTGTCGCACAACATTGTTTGTTTCAAGTTTTGGGTTAATGTTTCGAGTTTTTCACCTTGCCTGATTACTTGTTGCGCAACAAAAACATTTGCTGCGGGTTGAAGGAAGTTGTTGCGGGTCTACTTTGAGCAACAAATTTTGGCTTTGTTGCTCGTTTTTCATCACACTCACAACTTGTCACGCAACAAATTTGCTCATGTTGCGCGACAAGTTGAGGGTTTTTGTATCTCGTATTTCACTGCCTTTATAATCCTCGTTGTCATCTTTAATGTCATCATCCTTTTCTTCACTGTCATCATCAATCATCATCATCCTCATTGTCATAGTCATGGTAATGGTCACAGTCCTGGTCATGGTCAGCATCATCATCTGTCATCGCTGTCTTTATCATCATCGCCATTACAGCCATTGTTATTTTCACCATCAACATCATCATCATCATCATCATCATCATCACAGCCAAGAGGCTAAACAATTTATTGAAAATGACCAAGAATGCCATCACAAGCTAGTCATATTGTCATGTTGCATACCTTTGAAAAATCAGGTGGAGGATTCTTTCCTCTACACAAATTGGACAAAGCCCAAACAAGGTTCTTTGTCATTGACAGTCTTGGTGACTGTTTTAAGAGCCTGTGAAGATAAAAACAATAAATTCATTAACAAAACTTGTCATTCTTGTGCCAAGAAAGAAAAAAAAGATAACAAAGAAGTTGGCCTTAAGTCTTGCTGCAAAATTGTTTATCAATGTCAAGAAGCACTGCAAAGTTTTCTTTCCTGGACAGTGATCTAGAAATTTTCCCCATATCTGTAAAAATTGTTTGCAAGAGCAACAAAAAGTATTTATGGCCTAACTCACCACGAGTCTTGACATAACCCAGTGGTTAGAACTGGTACCTAAAACGGCATAGGTTCAAATCCCGCTGAAGACTCACTGAACCTAAAATTTATCATCTATTTATCATCCAATATCACTGTTAGTGTTTTCTTTGGACAGAACACTACAGTCAACTCTGACTACTGATCCTAGCAGTATACATGTACAGGACATGTGTCACATATGAACCTAATAAATGTCCTAAGACTACACCATGAGCTTCCCAGAAAGTCAGTAGTTGGAGTACCCTTGGAATCTGTTCCTGGGTGTTCATTGGTCTGAAACCCCCAAAAACTCCACAAAATTTGTCATAATTTCTGTTGTGCCTCTAAGGACATCAAAATCTTGAAGGGGTTATGTTACAGATAGTGCATCTTGGAAAAAATGGCCTAATTTTTCAAGTTTGTCATTTGCAATTCATCTCCGTCATACCACTCCTTGTTCCTGTTTGTTTATTTGCTTTACTGACTGTATTTACCAAGTAAAATTTATTTTGAGGTTTCTTAAGGTTGAGGTAACTATGAACAAGAGAAAGATTACCCAATTTATCATCATATCATTCTCACAGTTCCTAGCTCTCCTCTGGGAGAATAGGGACGTGATTACTTGGTATACCACTACAGATCCCCATTAACCATTTCCTGTAGCATTTTCTTTAAACAGTTGTACAAACATTAAATTTGCACCAACAGTCCTTTACTTAACTATTACAATATCATAAATATGACAAAATGGGGGTTCCACAGCCTATACATAACAATAAAATACTAGAATGCAGTCTATTTATTATATCCTATTTGTCATGGAACACCATGGTCTTAAGGGAACAGCCCGGGAGACTTCCAACTAATTCTTATGGAAGAGTCCCAAAAGTATCTGAAGTTTTTGGTAAATCAGAAACAATCAATCATAAATGTTTGTGACAACTTACTCCAAAACTGGCTGTAACATTCCTAGGTTTAGAACATAATCTCTGCATTCTGCACTGTCACCAGCAATATTACCAAGAGCCCACACAGCCTAGAATTATAAATTGAACAACCAAAGCATTAGAAACAGAGGTTACACCTTTAAGAAGTCAATGCTGACGAAAGTGACTGCCACCAATCACATATATACTCTCTGAGAGCTCCTCCAACACCAAAGTCAGCAGTACTATTTGCTATATCTGGTACATATCTTCATGTTACCAAATTTGGATATTTTGCTGTTCCTCTCTGATTCATTCTTCAAAGCCCATATTATGGGATTTCAGTACCACTACAAGTTAGCTCGTCCTTTGGGAAACCACTTATCTTAGCTGTCTAGGACAATGTTAACCACCACTTATTCTGAACTCTCCTTTGGACTAAAGTTCTAATTAACATTTCTTTCATAACAAATGCAACAAGTACAGAATGAGTAGAGGTTCCAAAACTGTCTCATGTAGCTACTCCATGCAAGTGTTGTAAGGCACACACAGATTGACCTGTTTTCAGTCAGCAGATTCCAAACTAACAGCTACTGACCTGCTCCTGTACATCTACTTGAGGGGATTCCAGCAATCTAATGAAGACAGGCACTGCTCCTGCTTGTACCACACACTGAGTTTGCGGTGATGTACCAGACGCAATATTTGTCAGTGCCCAGGCTGCTTCAAACTTTGAAAAAAAGAAAAAAACAGACAATGAAAATGGTTAAAAATTATAAAAGTTGTCTTCAGCAAGTGAAGTTGCTCAAGGATGTCAGACCTGTAACATGCTACTGTCATCTCGCTGTAAGAAGTATATAAATCTTGGAATAACGTCACATCTAATTACATCATCAATTGGTGGGTGAGGTTCTAAAACCAAAAGAATAAGTTATGTTAGCACACGATTTTAAACTTGAATTCTGGTGTTATTGCACAGATGAAGGGAATCTATGGTTTTAAACCAGGTTCAAACAGGTTGTTACAGTCAAAAATTGATTATACAGACTCATGGGACACATACTAAGAAAATTTTAACCAGGTAACTAAATATATTTGTAACTGAAAAACTTATGGCCTAAGATAAAGGTCCAGATAACACAATCAAAAACTCTATAGAACGAAGGTCTAGGCAAAAAAGGTTTTTGGTATCATTCTAAACTGTTTTGATTCTCAATTCTTCAGAGCAAAAAGCTTTTCTTTTTTTAATGAAAACCCTGTTAATCTTAGGTTCAAAATGTTAATTCTTTATACTTATAGTCATACAATTCTTTGAATGTCAGCTCTAAGAATTTGGTGTCATATTAAGATAATATCACTTAGAGGATGATTTTCTTATTCTTCTCATCTGTCTGCTTGAAAATGTATTAGTATTGTAATAGGAAATTACATTTTGATTGCTCTTGGGAATGCGTAGTCCAAAAGATATCCATATCTCCCTTATGGATTTTGTCTAGGATCCTGCACCCCTGTGGAAATTTGAGTTAAGCCTCATACATTTCTTTAATTTTTTTTTGGTCTCACAGAACCCTCCACCCCCAAGGAAATTCCAATCTCTTCTGGGGTAGGGAGAAGTATGGATATTTTCTGGAACTGCACAATTGAACACTTAACAACAGAAAAAAAAAAAACCACTGACACTCATATATGTTTGTCAGTCATTAAAGTTTTAAAGTGTAAACAGACCTTTAGATAGGAGTTTTCGAAATTTTTGCATAGCTGCTAACTGTTTATCTGGTTCTTCTGAATACAATGCTTCCACCACATCAGGAGAAAATACACCCTAAAAAATTAAAAGAAGGTATCACAAACCATTTGATAATCAACCTGAGAGAACTACAATACTATAAGTTTCTCTGATAATGGTTCAAAGATCCCAAATGTTTAGCCATGATGAGTGGTGAATGAATGAATGTTGTGTCTAGATACCCAGCAGCCAGGAAGTGTTTTTAAAAAACTACACTATAGATAATCGGCTGTGTGAACTTCTTACATGTATAAAATTTCCACAAAATATATCTTGAAATAGTTAATGTATCTCTAGAAATGTCAAGTGATTTCAACAAGTATTTTGGCTTTGCAGTTGAAGAATTTTTTGAGCTTGGGCATACTCTAAATAAATATAATTTTATATTTTTATAATCTTAGTGTTTTCGACACTTGGAAAATATTTGAGCTCCGACTCCACAAAAATTACAATTGAGACCCCCTGAGAGTACTCTATATTTGTTCAGAAATGCCAAGTGATTCCAAATAATGTATTGATTTTGTTAGTGGACAAACTCTCTCAGCTTTGGCTTACTGTAACAACCTATAAATTTTATAACCATATTAGACTGCTGGGTATCGTTTTTTTAAACACTTCATGGCTGCCAGGTATCTAGACACAACAATAAATGACTGACTGACTGACTGACTGACTGACCGACTGACTGACTGAATGAATGAGTGGGTGAGTGAATTAGTATGTAGAGTCACATACTTACTTAGGAAGTAACTATGAAAATAATTTATTAAATAGGGGTTTTTGTTTATTTTTTCTTATTGAAAGAAAAATTATTAAGCTTAATTGACATTAAAATGTGAGTTGAACACATAACACAGATATTTGAAAAGTCTAGAAAAGCAAACATCACCAGAACATATTTATCCAGTTATAATAATAAAAGAAATAACAACTGGAGTAATATCCCATACACAAGAAGATATCATGCCAAAACCAACCTGAAATGTTATCACGTGGAATTAAAAGTATTTTTTTCTAGTAAATTTCAGTTAATAAACTTATAATCATATACGATTTTGGGAATGTTCAAAGTGCATTGAGAATGTTATTGTTAATTCTTGTTTTAAAATTTCAACGGTCCATAGAAGGCTCTTGGACAAAAGCTGTTAGTTTAGAGCATATTAAAGCTTACATTTTCCGGATTAAGATCAACTGGCCGTGAGAGCAACTGTCGCCAACTAAACGTACGTAAGTAGTCACGAATATATGACCGTTTAACAGAATTTCAAAACACTCGGGAAAATAAGTAAAGCAATAATACAAGTAACGTCAGATTGTTCACTTTGAGAATTTTGTGAACGGAGTTTGAACTGACACTAACACTAGGTGTTGAATTGCGACACACTCGGTGACACCGGAGGTTTTCCATACCTGACCAACGTGGTTCGTAGTCAGCAACGTCTCCAGTTCACTTGGCTGGGACGATAACTTTCCTGACATATCCACATTTCTTCTTTTAAACATCTAGGGAAACAAACACAGTAAATTAAAGAATTTAAATCATTAACGTAGAAGGAAAATCGATCGGACGTAATGTACAATGCACACAATCATTTTTTTACATACTTGTTCTTCACGTTTGGCTTTTCGAAGTTGGACCCCTTCTTCCTCTCGCCTTCGCCTCATTTCCGTAGAATCTAACGCCTTGTTCTTGTAGGATTTCAAACGTGCATTCGCCCGAGTCGCCATCTTCAAGACGGGTCGAGGGAAAGCACAAAATCTTACAAAGAAACGAGGAAGACCGACCGCGAAATTGAAAATGTCTCGAGATTTTTCGGCTCTCCTCTGGGTGGCGTGCTTCCACCTGAAAATGTGCGCTTGCGCAACTTCAACCGTTTAGGTTCCAGTCTTCATTCTCGAACCTATGCGCCCGAGCGGAGACTCACAACCAGTCATTTGTCCGTTGGCCAGAAATTTTCCACTCACATTTCACGGGACTTTAAACTTTCAGCAAAACGACGATTTCATAGTTGCCAGTAGTAAAAATTCGGAAGTTACTTTCGGACATAGACATATGGAAGACGTTTTCGCGATTAGACTACGAGTAGTCCCTCTTTCGCTTAGTCCGTCGTGCGTGAAAGAAAGAAAAAAAGACGCGAAAGAAAACCGCGAGAAAAAAATGGCCGCGCGCGCGGCCATTTTTTTCTCGCGGTTTTCTTTCGCGTCTTTTTTTCTTTCTTTCACGCACGACGGACTAAGCGAAAGAGGGACTACTCGTAGTCTATTTCGCGATCGCCATTTTTGATTGATCGGGAGTGCTGATACTGATAAAAGATGCATGGCGCTAACTACTTGCATGAAAAGTACATTTTCATTCGAATGAAAGCAAAGAGGAAAGGAATAAGAAAAGCCCATCGAAGACTTCTCTGCTCAAGTATGAGGTGATACAAATACATGTCTGGATTTATGAAAACAGTGTCCTGGGACGGATCTAGGGGCCAGGGCTTCGGGGATTTCGGTCGAACCTCCTAAATAAAAAAAGAGAGACATTATAATGACAAACAATAGACTGCAAGGCTTATACTGCGTGAAAGACGTTTCGAGAAACCAACACGACAAAAACCGATAAAGTAGGATCGCAACAGTGGACAGCTGTTTCGTCCTTATTGGGACTCATCAGCACTGTGTAGCGAAGATATGTAACGCCAGCCCAAGACCCAACGCACATAAATTGCAAAATGGCCCGTTCACCGAGATCTCTTTTAGATCTAGGTTGGCAGGGTTTTTCGCGGTCCCTTGCAGTTTCTGGTTAGACATTATAACACGCTGACTTGGCCCCAGAATGACGGAAATCCCATTTTTGATGATCTCAATCTTAAAAATTTTCCGGCGAAGGATACCTTGAGCGGTCCGTATCTCGAACCCCTTCTCTAAAACCCCGTATCCGCCCCAGGGGTTAAAGAAATTGCACCATCCTCAATTCTCGCCAGAGACAATCTCCAAAGTAGACGATATAAAAATTGAACGAAATGTCAGTCTTTTGTTCCTCCTCTCTCTTATTTTCTTTTCTTGCTCTTCTTTATTTATTTATTTATTTATTTTAATTTTTTTTTCCATCACCAGGAGTAATTTTAACGCCGTTAGGAGTCGTGAAATCAAAGTGCATAGGGGCGATTTGGTGCAAAGTATTAACACGGTTTTCATAAATCCAACCATATTTATGTCCTGGAAAGTTCATACCGTGAGCAGACTGAGCTGGAGTGGCGCCAGTTCATTTGTTTGTAAGTTTTCCTGCGGTTTTTTTTCCGTTTTAAAGAAGTAAAGAAAACTGAAGCGCAATAACCGTTCGCTTCCGAGCAGAAATGTCTACGCAACTGCGTGAGCAAAAGAAACAGGGTTTTTCAATTATGACGTACGTGTAGCCTCGCAATGCTAACAGGGAGTACGTGAGTAGAAGATCTTTCCCAAGATGTCAACAATCGGGCTTAAACAAGTTATGGCTGTGATCCCGCTACGCAAACCACGAGAGAAACTTTGGGCGAAAAGGAGCTCTGAGAGAGGAAAAGCAAGTCAGATAAAAGGTGTATTAGCCAAGTTTGAGGAGGCAGACAATCGTAAAAGCGATTCATCATTATGGCATCAGAGAAGAGTGCACAAAAAAGACGCGGACAACCGACCAACTATGAGCTGTTTAAAGGGCTTTCCAAGAGAATCCCCGGGTACGTGACAACATCTCTCATGTATATGCGCAAGAGATGATAAAGGGTGAAAGAGTTAATCCTCTATATAAACCTTATTCCAAAGGTGAATACCTCTCGGGCTATGTTTAGATCACTCCCGACCTCATAAATCCCACAAGGGAAGAAACATATCCAATCCTATTTCGAAAATCTCATTCTCGTTACAGCCTTAGCGACCCGACCTTTACATGCATTTTTATCCTCCATAAAAATATTTGCGTATAAACGCTAGCGGTAACATTAACCCGGCCGCGAGAGAGCTGTATAGACAAATGTACAGGATGAACAGAAACGAAAGAAATTGTTATCTACGGTTGATGCGTGACACTTATTTGAACGTTCAAGAGAAAATAAACATAAAAACTGATGACGTGGAAATAGGTCAAAGTGTCATCTTGTGAAAAAACAGAGACGTTTCGGGCATAGCCCTTCTTCAGTGTGAAGCCGTTAAATGTTCAGTTCGCGCGACTGTTCATTTGAAAGTAACGTACGGAAACTAAGCGCGCGGAAACTAGACGCGCGCGCGCCGTTTATAGGAAATAGAAAACATTAAAAATAACTTGAGATGGATTACCTTAGGAATGAGGCCTATATGGAGATTAACTCTCTTGCTATGCGTTCACACCGACTTCAAAGTCCATTTGCATAAAGCTTTGAAAGTAACTTGAGCCGGAGAAAACTTTGCCTTTTCCAGGCGTCCGGTCCGTTAGCGAGCAGCGGAAAAAACGGCGAGAGAAAAAATATGGGAGGAGTGGGGCGCGGGAAGCCAAGCCTCCTTCTCCCCATCCCCGCCATTTTTCCCTCTCTGCTCTTCTTGCAGCTGTCAACTAACCAAACGCCTGGAACAGACTAAACTGGAAACTGGAGTTTTACACGGCTGTACTGTAAAATAGGTCAAGATGCTTGTTATACAATTGTGTCACTGACAAAAGCATTTTCAGTGCATTTGAATGTATATCTCAAAAGTTTGTTCCTTTTTTTTTCAGGACTTGTCAGAGCTCTTGAGGTGTACAGCCCAAATAACCCAGCCGCGGCAAAATGGCGCTCGGGGCTTCGTCCGTTGAGTATATACCAACAGAGTCAATTGGAAAAAACTGTGCGAGATTACACTAAACTCTACAGTGTGCAACACTCTCCACCAAGCACGACGCTGACTGTTCGCTGGCGAAATCACGGTACAGTTTCCTGCTACACCGAGGAATCCCTTCTTAAAATTTTCAGCCATTTTGGCCCGGTGAGGAAGATTAGTTTTCAGAGTGAATGCAGTGCGCATGTCGTCTTGGAAAACGCCGAAAGCGCCTGCGCAGCGCTGAGCCTATCAAATTTGGGCTTTCCCAGGTGCCCACTGCATGTTCGTTGGTTGCCAGAGGAACAGAAAAGATTGCTTTGGAAAAGAAAAGATGCCATTCCTAAACCAATGAAATTTAAGTATGTTGCGATTGACCGAAGAGGGGCCGGGAGCAAAGAGCCGGACAAAAAGGGGACTAGATTCAAGTCTCCCCAGGCTCTCACGCGTCCAAGTCAAATTTCTTGCACTTTCCACACCAAGTCGCGCACTTAATTCAATAACTGCCGAAGGTTTTGGTTGCGAATTTTTCATGTAATTCGCAATTTAAAAAAAAACAAACAAACTGTAACTTAAACAAAAGAACGTCACCAAGTAAATAAATATACAGTATTTATTTTATCTTATTCTTTCAATATATGAAAAAAATATCTCCGCAGCTTATGTTTAAACAAAATTAAACTTAAATTCTTATTCTTTATATTCTCGCCTTACTGAAGGTAAGGTAAAGGTAAAGGATAAAGCCTGCATATTAGCCAAGTGGCCACAGTTATTTCTGATTTCAGTAACATGAAGCGACTACAATGTCCACAACACAATGTCCCCGGCCAGGGCTCAAACGCGGAACGCTCGATCAGAAGTCGAGCGCACTAACCATGAGGCCACCCGGCGCGCCTCCCCAAAAAATGCAATTTAAAAATATACCTCTTTTCTTATTCTCTTCTTTCTCGCATTCCTGAAGACTCATTCCTTAGTTAAATATTAACGTAAACTCAGGCTGACTGAACTAACTTCCAGTCGAAATGTGATGTTGTTTTATCACATAGCCAACACATTTACGGTACATTCCTTTGGGGTGATCTGGATCAGGATCAGTGATCCAAGATCACTTGGATCGTGGTGCATCAAAGGAACCGATGAATCCACTCTGGTCACGGATTCATGGGTTCCTTTGATGAACTATGATCCGAGTGATCTTGGATCACTGATCCTGATCCAGTTCACCCCAAAGGAACGTACCCTTAATTTGTTTTTGTCATTTTTTGGTTGGTTTTCAAACTCATCACCCACTCAGCGAGCCAACAACGCCACCTACAACTAGCTGGTATTTTGAATTTTTTTTGTCTGCATCATTCAGACTTACTTGGTTTTTAATTGGCTCACCGATGGCTTAAACAGCATAATCCGGAAAACTTGACCGAAAAGTAACGGTACATAAATATTCACTGTAACTCTAGCCTGTAACTCTATATACTTACAATTTACACGTCAATTTCTTTTAGCGGTATAATCTGATTTTTAATGCTATTGGGCGAAATGTTTACAGTCAACAGTTTAGTTATGATATTTGACTGTAGTGAGAGAACTCTTCAAGGAAATTCCTGCTCACAAAGACTAACCTTAAACTTTGTTTATAGATTCAAGTCATTTTTGGCGATTTTTGTTGGTTCGGAGCACGTGAACAGGAAATGCCATGCAGGCGTTTCTCTGAGACTATCATGTGATAACTGTCCATTAGAGGTGTACCACATGATTGCGCTTGACCAATGACGCAACAGAAAAATTCTTAGAGAGGATTCTAGTCAAATGTAACACCAGAATTCTACAACTACCAGAGAACCTCGATTACGATGAAGCCGAAGTTATAACAGTACGACGCGAAAGAAACTGCTTATGAGAGCTGTACCCCCGGATAATCTGCACATTAATTTCTTTAACTCAAGGGACTCTCACAGAATGCAAGGTTTTACTCTGTTCCATTTCCGGGGGGTCCATGATCCCCTCCACATATACGATCTGATACTGCTTACACCTCATTTGCTTGAGGGATCGCCGCAGGTGCCGTAACCCGGAGCTGCTGCTTTGAATGTCTTCTAAAAGACCCTGCATCTGTTTGGCAGAATGTGAAGGATCGAACAACAGAAGATACAAACCACCATCCTTCCCAGAGTGCTCCTCGACCCCAATCACCAGCCGACTGTGGCCTGTGAAGGATTAAAGATAACACAAGAAAAGTGCATTCAGGAATTCTCTTAAAATGGAGGGGTGCGAGAGTTACTGAAAAATAACACCAACCCAACAAAACGGCAAAACGGCCAAATTTATACTACAGACAGATAACTCGTCTGGGACAAACTTGAGTATGAAACGTTGAGTTTGTCGGATTATCCGTCTCTGTATATAGGGTTACCGATTTTTTAGCCCCCAAGTTGATTAGCCCCTAGCCGGTTAGCCCAGAGGTCGATTAGCCACCATTCACACTTAAAGAACGAGAAATAGACAGTGTTTTCGACTTTTAGTTGGGGGCTACTCGACTTCTGGTTAGGGGCTGGTCAACTTGGGGGCTAAACGACCACATATCGTATATAGAGGCGAACAGACGGATTACCTGCCAGGACGAACCATCTGTTAAGTTCATCTCGACAGACCAACTGGTGTAGATATCTGGAAGGTTGTTCCATCTGTTAGTCCGTGTTTATACACAGACTAACTATCAGGCTCATCGATAGCACCCGAACGTTATCTCCGGGAAGGGTTGCTACATGTTTCGCACCCGATCGAGTTTGTACCCACCGAGTTCGCACCCCTGACCACATTATAAACTTTCTATTTCGAGTTCGCCTTCACCTTCAATGGATTAAAGAACTAGAAATAAACTTTGTTTCATTATTCCCACAATGTTGTCTTTTTTGCTCGGAGAAAGAGAAAGATTAATTTTATGCACTTGATCGCTAGTCGAGTCCATAGTTAATAGGTTGAGTCGATGTGGGTGCGAACTCGGTGGATACGAACTCGCCTGGGTGCGAAACCTCCAGCTACCCCGGGAAGTCATGGGTTCGAATCTTAAGAAGTTTTTTTTGTCCCACGCTCCAGCATCCAACATTTAATCTTTCACATCAATCGTTTGTCTCAAAATTAGTTGTTCCGTATTTATACTAAGTCGATGATTCGTCTTAACTGAGTGCAAATCGAGCCAATGATATGAATAACAGCAGACCTTGATGTTGAAGGTATAGAGGAGGAACAGAAGTCTGTCTGAGGACCGATGAGCCTGCAGGGAGTACAGTGGAGTTGATGCTGTAGCTAAAATACCGCTTTATCCAAGAAAACATCTCTGGGTGCGTGCCATCACAACCAGTTGCTTGGTGAAAGTCAATTATCTTAGCTCTGAAAAATTAAAAAAACAAAGCACCTCGCAAATCTAAATATTCTCTCTACTCTGAATCCTCTAAAAAGCAAGAATTCTTGGCGGTGCAGCCGGTTTCGCGACCTGTCGAGTTCGCTACGTTTCGCTACGTTTAATTCGCGTTCGCTACCATCGATAAACGAAAACCTACATCAAAATCAATCCAACGCGCATATAGATTATTCCTCGTTCTTTCACCCACTGCCGAGCCAAACTCGGTTAGCTGAGGTAGCGAACTCGGCCTGTGGCTAGCCAACATGTAGCGAACTCGACAAGGAGCGAAACCGGCCTAAACCTTCTTGGCGATATGAAACATGGAACCAGGATTGACATAACGCCGATACGACCCCGATTACTGCCCTCTTGACCCCTCCCAAACACTTCAATGACTTCATTTTACATCCTCAAGAGGATAGGCTGTTCCAGGCTTTGCAAATGGATAAAAGGCAAGGGGCTTGGGACGGACTAGCCCTTGTCGTTTGTTTCACTCGCTCTCCTTCACGCTCAGCTGTCTAACTAACTGGACGTCAGCAACAGACTACCGACGAAATTCTGGTAAACTTCGGGGAGCCATTAGCGTATATTAGGGTAGGGTTATTTCGTATCTAAGTGTAGGGGTATTCCATATATAAGTTCTATTAGGGGTGTTCCTCAGAATCTTTTTCAGTCAAGGTGGTCAAAAATGAGGAAGGGAGAGTTAACCGTTATATGGTTGCTTTAAGAAGATCTCATACGTAGTCATTTGCTGAGGTATTGTAATGCACGGTTCCTGTGGGTCTCTATGGGTATAAAGCAGTTGTGCACTGTGAGGCCTATGTACTTTCATCCTACCTCATCTGAAGTGATCTCAAGACAGCTGCTATTTCTGTAGCTCCAATCCATTTCCTGGTGTTGATTAGTTTGCATCCAAGCTGTTCAGAACCCTGTCTGTCAAACCCTTAACACAAGCAAACAGAAGTCACAGTAAGCTTAATTAAAAGTGTATATGAATTAAAAGAATACTGTTCTCCACAATTTGATTTAAACCTTATCAACTTGTATGATCGATGTGATAGTTGATGAGGCCGAAGGCCAGTCAACGTATGGTTACCAAGGTACAAGTTTTCCAGTCCCAACCTATGCATATCATAAGAATAACCAGTGGAGGAGGGCTAACCCTCAGATTTTCTCAGGTTGCCCTGAACATCTGCTGGTATTCACTTATAATCCTTGGTTGTAAGAAAGACACTGTGTGGGTCTCTTCAGTAATAAAGGCTGATTCACATGCTACAATTTGTTGACCTCATTAGTTGGTTCATTGGAACAAGCCAATGTACATGGTAAGATTTTTGGCATGAATGGTTTATTTGAATCTCTGGGTTGGGGACACCCATGTAAACAGGTCGGATATGCTCATAATCTTGATTACTTTGTCCGTTTTAAAGTGTACCTTCAGTTCAGGGGTCAAATAAAACCCACGCCACACACAGATAAGGGCCTCCTTTAGGGGTTTAATCCAAATTTTCTGAAGAGCATCCCCAATCTTTTCACGTGGGAGTCCCTTGGGGTTTCAACAACATGGAAGAAAATAGGCCCAATTTGATGCCATTGTTGTTCTGATATTTGTCTGACAAAATTGGTCACATAAATCATGGTGTGTAAATTTGGCTTAACACAACACAATGACCCTGTGTCAGCACTCAAAGCTCTCTTAAACCCAGATTTGTTAACTAGACAAAAAATATGTTCCAGGGGAAAATCAGGTCTAGATGCTAGAGCTGAAGGTATCAATGCAAGGTTTCTTACCACTAGTCCATGCTGACTCAATAAACTGCTGAATTCTTGGTATGGATGGAACTTTCTCCCCAACTGGATCAAAGTAATTGATATAAAAGTAAATAAGTTTCCCTAGGCACATTTTCCATTTACTACATGTATGTTGAAAAATCTCATGAAATTATAAGGATAACAGGACTGCCATTATGCTATGAGTCACCTGCTGAAGTAATCAACAACAGGCAAGTTAACCCATAACATCAAGGGCCCATCAAGCATTCTCAGTCTTAACTGGTTTTGTGGGCTATGACTGTAATACCCAAGTGAAGATTTTGTGTGAGAATGTCAGGTCCATCATACTTGCAAGGCTCAAAGTCTAAAATTTATTTCAAGCATAAAACAGACAGGACCTCAGTTCACACTCACCGCTAAACATAACCGGCCTGTAGACATCAATCCTCAAAAGCGCAGAAATTAACATTTGCAGATTTCTGTAGCCACATCCCCAGCCAGCGTCACCCACAGTACTGGCATAATGATCAGTGTCTATAGCAAGCCAGGCTGCCTTGGTTCCACTGACTCCCATTTCATATCGATGATGAAGTTGAGGAATGATCCCTTTATACAAAAGACAAGACAGTATGTTAAATCCCTTTTATTTGATATCTCATCCATTCATTGTTAGGTTAATTTAATATCATTTCTGTCTTTTCTAAAAGATATTGAATGATACTAAAGAACTTTTACTTGCAACTGAATGCCAAATCATCAAATATGAAAATTGACAAGCAAAAGTAAAGCCTTATCTCAAGCCAGGTTCAAAGGGCAAAATTGATTCCCCTGTGTCAGACATAGAAGATTAAACCCCTATCCCTTATTATAACTGATACAACACAATGCAATGCAATGCAACACAGTGCAGTGCAATGTAATATTTGTTGTTATTATATGGCTACACATGTAGCTCCGTGAGCGGGCAAGATGAATCAAATCCTGTGCTGTGATTGGCTACCCAAGCGGGCAAGATGAAGCTATCTTGTTCGCTTGGGACTACCCGCTGTGTCCTGCAAGAAAAATTTCCACGAAAGCCATATTATTATAATAAATCCTTTACTGACCAAGCTTGTTCAGTCAAGATGGCTTGATATTGGCCTCGTTCTTCTTTTCCGAGTTTATGGACCGAGACGGAGTCGAGGTCCATAAACACACAAAAAAAGAACTTGACCAATATTCAGCCATCTTGACCTCACACTTGGTCAATAACCTACATATACCACGATAGAAAGGAGCACCACAAGGGTTTGAAGGGTGACCTGAGGCACCATGTGAGTTTAGTGTCTTATTGTGAATGGATGATGTATTAGCCAAACTTTGATCCCAAAGTGGTAAGATGCATGTACCAGTCAACAATGACAAGCTTTTCTGCTTACCAAAAAGCACCTAGTAAATTTACTAAATAAATAAGGAACGCAGCAAACAAAGTCTTTACACAAACCAGTCAGCGGCTTATCAGGTTGGCAATCAACTCTCGTTTTCATAGCTTGAAGCAATTAGAAATAACACTAGAAATAACACTTCTACTCCACCTGAAAGTGCATCCCAGGTCACCTGCACTGCATTAGTGTCAAATTACAGTATGATGTATCAGCCATTAAAATTGGAGTAGTGTTGATATGTCTGACCTGGAGAGTCAATTTTGTCATGTTGCCCTGACTATTTTCAATAATTTAGTTTCTATTAATTTTTTTATTTTTTATTCATACTCCAGGGCAGAGAGACGAATTGTGAGAATAAAGTGTCTTGCCCAATGAAACACAGTATGTACCCTGGCCAAATCAGTATTTACTACTAATACATTGCTACTAGGGCTGAAAAGTAAGATCTTGCTGCAGTTTACCTCTGGTACAAGATTCTCCACTATCATTGTCAGTCATAAGAATTTTCAACATTTCTGCTTTCCTGGCATAGTAATCGCCCACAGATGTCTTGTTTCTTGCCACGTCTCTTTCCAAATGCCGACTGTACTGAGTGGCATATCCACTAGTAGAGGTCATACCATACATTGCCTTAATGTAAGGAAAGAAAATCACCTTTGAAAAAATTTTATTCATAATAAGGTTAGTGTATTCTCTTAAAAAATTAGGACAATACAGCATACAGAAGCAATGACCTTTGTTAGTTTCGAGTTCTGAGGACAAGTTTACAGGTATTTGAAAGCAAGGTTTAGTCTGCATTCAGGTATCATGACCCATCATGCCAGAGCTTGTCTCTGGTGCCAATTGTAAGTCTGTGTTTCTTTCACTGACTGTTTTTTTGTGGTATTTTGGAAACACTGGCAGGACCTTCTGGTGGGACTACACAATGGGCAAACAACTGCACAATTTAAGAAACTTGTAACGAAGATTTTTCACATACCAGTAGCGCTGGCTGAAGTGTCCTGAATTATAATTTTGTTTGTAGGTTTGACAATAAAGTTGACAGTTACTTGTGATAATACATTGTACGTGGCTAATCTTACACAGCTTGCTTCATCCTGGCCAAGGGACTCATCAGAGACCTTTCCGCTTGGCAAACTCGTTTGTAGGTTTCCAGATAAATGAGTTTTTCTTTACCACGAGATTTGGATGTGAGACCACAAGATAGGTAAATTAAGGTAACCTTTCCAATCTCATCAGCATGGTAGCAAATGAAACAACTTGCGCATTGGTTGACTGTCTGGTGGCAGCTACCCAAACTGTCTGTGAGAGTTGGCAGCTATAATTTCGTTCAATTAACGATATTTATTAAAAGGACAAATTCTTCAAACCTGGAGCTTTTTCAGCTCCTCTTCCTCCTGAAGTCTTTTTTCTTCTTGTTCTCTTCTTTGTTCACTTTCCAGTGCTTGAGCTAACATATGGTCATCCCATTCACATGGCTGGTTTTCAAGTCGTTCCATCTCCTATTGGATAAGAACCCATATACTATCCATTAGCTAAAGGATTAATTCCGCATCATACTTTCAATAAATATATCTTATTAACCACGTGAGAGGGCCATACTGGTAGAATATCAGCCCAAGGTCTTGACAGTGCAGATTGAGCACAGTAAGGCCCATACAGATAAGACTGAGGGCCAATTGATATTCTGCCAGTACAATTCCAAGCAAGCTTGGTTAATAAGAGATTAATTACACAACTGAAAGTACCCAAAAATCTTCAAGAGTGATCTTGCGGGATCATTTGGGACAGTGCCCAGTCCAGTCCTAGCTTAGAGAATTTTGGACCGCCAATGGAGCAATCTGATTGGCTGAATTTAGTTATTGGCCCTCTGAACTAACTGAGTCATGTAATAAAAAGCACTCATTATCCTCTCTAATAATAGGCGGATTCTCAAGTCCATTTCCTAATCTTTTTATTATACACTTGAATGAGAAATGTACAGTTGATTAGGGACGTTGCACTACAATGGAACCCTGCTATAACAAACCCTGCTATAATGAAGACCCCGCTATAATGAACAATTTTTTGGGTACTGTGGCACCTTCGTTATAGTGGGGTTCCACTATAGTACATTAGGAGTCAAACAGTTAACCTCATTGGCACAGTAGCTAATTAATTGACAGCACAAAATATTATATCTAATATTTTTTCACCTGTTTTTCAAGTTCCTGAGCCAGTACACTATCGTTGTGTGTGTACAATAATGGCATATCATATTGCTGCTGCTGGTTAAATGGGACTCCCAATAAACTACTACTAGCTGCATCACTGATGGATTGATCTTCCAAGGAGTGTGCAAACATGTGATCATCCCAGTCAGATGTGGAAACTAACAAAGGTAAGTGTCAATAAAATCAATTTTATATAACTTCAAATCATATAAGTTAGTAATAATTATTTTTAACATTGGACAAGAGTAAATTAAAAATAGATTGATCATCTGTTAAATGTTTACTAAAAGATTATCAGACAATTTGTTGAAATTTTAATTGAAATACATGTCTTTGTTTTGGAGGATTATTTAAAGGCACCAAAATTTTAAAGTAACTTATTCACTATTCAGTTGATGTTTCAGTTAATGTCATCCAAGATAAAATTTAAAATGATAGACCTTAATCTAAAAAAATGTTTCCTTTGGAATTAAAATCATCTGTCAAAGTAAAATCATTGCAGCTGTTTTAAGATATCAGAAAGTTTTACAAGCCAGAATAAATCACATTAATGTTTGGTAAATGTCATTCTTTATTTTAACTGAAATGCTGGTGTTGGTCATTCAAATTTTGTCAGAGGTAAACATAGAAAAAAAGTAGTGTGGAAATCATCTAAAAGCAAATCCATTTATTGTTCTACCCAAACATCATAGAATCCTAACATCTTACATCTATTATGCTGGTGAAAATGTCATGGCTAAATGATGAGGTTTAATTTAAGAATTTTACTGGGTGAATCAAGTTTCTTAATAAATCCCTATACAATATTTGACAGAGAAAATTGCATTTTAGGGATTTCTTTTAAATACTTTGAGACTAAAAGACATTAGCCTATGTGGTAAGCATCCCTGTATGAAACATAGCTTTCTCCGCATTCTGGGTGCGTGAAAATTGGGGTGGGAACAAAAAAACTCAGTGAAGCAGGGGATGGGATGGGGGGGGGGGGGGGGGGGGGGGGAAGCAGCAAGTTAGTAATGATAAAGTTCTCTTGGTTCGCACATAACCACTTGTGTAAGAAAACGTTTCAGCAAAAAAATCGGAAGAACTTTTTGGATTTGAGTGGAAGCGCCTTTCCGTGGCCAATNGGGGGGGATACCCCACCATCCCAGACTCCAGTGATTTAGAGTTCTTGCCCCAATTTTTGTGCAACCAGACTTTCTACAAAATTCCTATAGAATGCTTACTACACAGGCTAAAAAGACATTGGAGTCATATCTAGTAATGAGGGCTGATTTTTCAGAATTAGCGACTGGGTGGTCTTTTGAACATCTGATCTCCACAATGAAAAGGAACCCAACTTTCTTACACTGCTGATGACAGTAAGTCTTATTCTCACTGTGGTGAAAGTTGAAGATAAAGAATCAAAGTTTGAAGATATTTGAGCCAATGTCCCAAGTTGTTTGTGTTGCTAACAATGAAATTGTACATATGTATGTTTATGTATATTTGTCTGGCACATGCATGCTTACATGGTATAAATTCTGTGCTGGCAACTACTGACTGTCCTTCTAAGCAAGATTGCTTGGCTCTGCCATCTACAGGAGTTAAAATGAACTGAATTTAAGAATTTATAGTTGTACAGGTATAGTTTATGCCAGTCAAATCATTTAAAAGTTTAATGTTTGATTTTGGTTATTTACTTAGTCAGAGTTTGTCAACAACAATAAAGATAATTAGCTGAAGTTGTTCTAATTACTTTTGTTAATTGAGTTTTACGTTTATTTGTTTATCTCATTTAAAATCAATTAACTATGCTCATAGGTCGCGTTTCCTTAGCAAAACAGACAACAGCTAAAACTTTCTTCCAAACAGAAGAAAAGCACAGTAATGGGAATGTGTAACTAAAGGCTAGGGTTCCTTGGATTAAAATATTTATGGGAAAGTCTTTTTATAATGAATTAGAGCGTTTTTTTTTCCTACCGCGTATGACACGACGAAAAATTTTCCAAAGTAAGTTACCTATGTCTTGACATTTTCCATATGTACAGGCCCGAAAATCGGCTGAATCAGAGAAACCAGGAACTGAAATTAAACGAAAACAACCGTCTTTACTTGACATGTATTGGTCTGATGTACCTGCTAGAGGCTTTTAAAATCAAATTTTTCACGTCGTCAAAACCGAAATCGCGCTTCGAAACTGCTTGTCTTACCTTCCAAATCATCGAATCGATTCGTCTCAGACGATGTGGAGGGCTGCGTGAAATGCTCTTCGACATGAATGCCAATGTTTTCTTTTGACACGGAAGTCCCACAAACAGGACAAATCGAACACGACGGAGGCAGGTCGATCTCATGGCGATATAGCTCGTCCCGCCGTCTTTTCATATCAAATGATGCGACACCAGATCACGACAACATCACCGCAAGCATAAGAATGTCATGCTTTCGGTTTGGGAAAGGGTTTAAAGGAAAAATGAACTTGAATTCTTCAAATCACAACGAATCGCTCGACTATCCGATTTGCCACCAGTTGAATGTCACCAGGCGTTACAATCAAGTGTTGAGCATCATAACGAGGCATAGTGTGGTGGTACATTTATTTGGCATGTCACGTTGTCACGCAAGAAACATCATTGCGTTACTTGCCGTTTTTGCTGTGTAGGAATTTTTTTGTGTGTGAAATTACCCATCCCCCTCCTCTACCTCTCAGAAAATAACGGTCTGTCCCTTGCTTCGCTGTAAACTACAGTCGCATTAAATTTTGGGGGGAAAACTGTTTGTTTGATCAGACTGGTCAAACATCAAACTCTTTTTCCTGTCACCTCAATTAACTGCGCCCAAGTTGCATTTCGTCTGAGGGTTATGAAGGCCACCCCCTTCATTTATTATACGAAAACAAAAAACAAAAAAAAAAACAGCTTACTGATATACTTACCTTGCAGTAACAGCACTTAATATAAACAGAGTACAAACACTTCCTTGAGCTCATAATGATGTGATCCCTTTAAGGGGGGCGGTACACATGAATTTAAGTGAAATTTTATGATGTTTAAAGAGGGCTTAAAAGGATAAAAAGGGGTTTGGAACACCACCAGACAGTTGATTACCTCCAAAAGGGCACCCCGGGTTGGTGGGCAACTGTTTAGTGTACGTCTACCAATTTCTAACTTCAAATTCTAATTTTAAAACAACAACATCAAATCTTCAAAATTTCCTATTTCCATAAATTTTACTAATCCTTTGAGAAAAACTATTTATCCCCAAATATACCCCAAAAAATCACCAAAAAATTTACAAAACAGCCCAAAGCGTAGCTATGTGAAATGAGCAGAGATATTTTTCACTGCTTGAAACGTGAAGGAGATATTTGCATTCAAACCATAATACCCAGCAAAAATATGGCCTTCATGTTAACCCCCGCTCTATAGAAAAACTCCCTTGTGATGAAGCGACCCCCACTGGCCTTGTCTCACGGGTTGGTTCTTCACATATGGTTAATCTCATTGCGTCCATGGAAAATTGCTATTTCTTTGTCTAGGACTCAGTTGTCTATCGAGAGCGAGAGCTTTTGAAGTTACAGAACATAAACTAACTCGTACTTCCAGGTTTAATACAGGTACCATAGAAAATGGTAGAAAATAGGGCTGGCACTTTCCCTAGGAGATACGTCCCACCCGTGGTGGGGACTGTCATATAAAATGGAAGGGGGTGCTCGTCATACCTTTTAGGGGTTAAAAAAGCGGTTTTGGTACCTCTTAGTGTTAAGCCTCAAAACGTCCCCAGCGGGAACTTTTGCGGTACGTTTTGGAGTATTGAGCCGAAAAAAAATATGACAGGAGATAATGTGTTGTTTTAGAACACTGAAACAGATTATAACCATTGGTTAGGTGTCTGTTCAGGGGCTAGCTGGAGCACTTTTAAAGCCCTGTAGGTTAATTTTAGGTTGCGCTAAAAA